GCTGATGCAGAGGCTGTGGAGGGTGCTGCTTACCGGCTTCCTTCTCATGGCTTGCTCAGTCTGCTTTCTTTTTTTTTTTTTTTTTTTTTTTTTTTTTTTGGTTTTTCGAGACAGGGTTTTTCTGTGGCTTTGAAGGCTGTCCTGTCCTGGAACTCGCTTGGTAGTCCAGGCTGGTCTCGAACTCCCAGAGATCCGCCTGCCTCTGCCTCCCGAGTGCTGGGATTAATCAGTCTGCTTTCTTACAGAACCTAGCACCACCACCCCAGGGACAGCCCCACCTGCAGTGAGTGGGACCCTCCCCCATCAATCGCTAATTAAGAAAACGCCCTGCAGCTGGCTCTTACAGAGGCATTTTCTCAATTGAGGCTCTCTCTTTTCAGATGACTCCAGCTCCTGTCAGGCTGACATTAAGCTAGCCAGTACAGTGGCCAAATTAAAGTATAGATAATTCTAAACATCTGTTGGTGGCTCCTTAATGAATATGAAAATAAAGCTATCTTTTTTGCCTGACTCTCCCTCCCAAATTCTACTTAATGAATACAGCCAGTGACTTTTTAGATGGTGTAATTAATTTTTTATTTATTCCCATTATTTGTTTCTCACAGTAGCACAACATATTAGGGGGTAGAAAAGGGCTTTTGAAGCAACAAAGCTGGGGTTTCAACAGAGGTTTGTGAGTCGCCAATGTCACTTTCTTTGGCTTCTTTCTTCCTTAATTTAGTTTATGTAATCCAGTGCAACAGAAGAGAAAGGAACACTCTTAATGACGTTTCTTAATTTTCTTCTAGGATCTTATTTTACAGACCCCCCCCCTCCGGAGGAGACTACAGAAAAAATGGGGAGTAGTACTTCATCTCCTCTTCCTCTGCTTCCGTCTTCTAAGTTAATGGGATGGGGGAATGCCACCTATTGGCCTCAAATGACTTAAGATGCAAGTCCCCATCCACCATCGATACAGTACACTGACCTTCCATAGATGCCTTGCCTTCCGTCTCTCCATGGTGGGATATAAGGGACTTCTTTTGTCTGGTTGGTTTTGAGGCAGGGTCTTAAGTCATCCAGACTGGCCTGGAACTCCTGACCCTCTTGCCTCCGCCTCTCAGATCCTTGGATCACAGTCATGAAGCACCATGTTTGGCTTCTCTCAGGGACCAGCCTCATAGCTAGACTGTAATACAAGACCCTTGTATCTGGGATTTGAAAGCAAGTCTCTGAGATGGTCCTGGAGAAATGCCTCTAAATTTTCAGGATTCCGGTGTTTAACACTTTGCATCATTCCCTAATAGTAACAAGAGCATCCTGATGAGACAGGTTTTCTGTCTGGCCAGGTCCCACAGCCCCTTAGTCCCAAATAAACACACAGAGGCTTCTATTGATTATAAACTGTTTGGCCAGTGGGCTCAAGCTTCTTATTGGCTAGCTCTCTCTTAATTATTAACCCATAACTATTAATCTGTATATTTCTACATGGCCTTATCTTACCAGAGAATGCCCGGCATCCTAGCTTACCGGCAGCTACATGGCTTCTCTCTGGCAGCTCCTCTCTGCCTTCCTCTTCCCAGAATTCTCATCTGGTAGCTCCATCTATACTCCCTGCCTAGCTACTGGCCAATCAACATTTATTCATCAACCAATAAGAGAAATACATATTCACAGCGTACAGAAAGACATCCCCTATCAGCATCCATTACTTTTGGGTCACTTGGACCAACCTGGGAGAAACAACTTTTTGTAGGCAAGAGTTATTCTGCTTGCAGAGGACTTCAGTCTGTCCTGGGGAGGGAAGGAGGGATGGAGGGACAGAGGGATGTAGGGACGAAGGGATGGAGAAAAGAGAGGGCAAAAGGGAGGGAAGGAGGGAGACAGGCAGGCAAGCAGGCATGCCAAGGCAGCTAAGTCATCCTGGGACCTCCACAAGGCAGGAGCAGTTCAAATCATAGCACCAAGAAACAGAAAGGGGACCAGAAGCCAGGGCCAGGCAGCTTCCAAAGGCCTGGGCCTTGTGTCCTAAACCCATCAACTAACTCCTATCCCTATGAGGCTTCAAAGCCACCAACACAGTTCTCACTAGCTGGGAAGCAAGTGTTCAACTCCAACCTTAACAAGAGGCTGGAGGAATAGCTGAGCTAGTGGACTGCTTGCCATGCAGGTATGAGAACGCGCTAGTTGGATCACCAGAATCCACATCAGAAGTCAGGCATGGTGGTGCATGCTCATAATCCCAGCTCTGGGGAAGAGACCAGCAGATCCCTGGGACTCCCCACTCAGCCAGCTTCACCTACTTGGTGAGCCTCATCTTAATGAGGGGGCTTGACTAAAAAATCAGCTGTGGTTGACCTCCAGACTCCAAATGCACATCTCCTGTACACATACAGTAAATAAATAATTTGCGTAAGTAAATAACTTGTGGCTGTTAAGCGTTCCTACTGTGGGTTGGAGAGATGGCTCAGTGGTAAAGAGCACTGGCTGCTCTTCTGAAGGTTCGGAGTTCAAGTCCCAGCAACCACATGGTGGCTCACAACCATCTATAATGAGATGAAGGCATGCACGCAGGCAGAACACTGTACATAATAAAAACATAAATCTTTAACTCTCCCCACCCCCAAAAAAGAGCTCCTGCTGCAAACCAGGTGTGGTGGTGCATGTCTTTAATCCCAGCACTCAGGAGCCAGAGGCAGACAGATCTCTGTGAGTTTCAGATCAGCCTGGTCTACAGAACGAGTTCCAGGATAAGAGGAAAGGGAGAGAACCCTGACTTTAATTTTTTTTTAAAAGTAAGTAAAGAAATCAAACATGAACAAACACCTCCAGGAGTAGCAAGCTGAGGTAACTGATAGATTATTCACAGCGAATATAACAGCAAGAGGGGAAAAGACTGCTCAGTAGCTGTTTGCTTTTTCCTCTCTTCCTTCTCAAGAATTTTTTATTACAGCTACTTCTGTTAGGGGAGGGGTGCATGTGTCAGGGCACAAATGTGGAAGCCAGAGGACAATTTAGAAGAATTCATTCTCCCCTCCTTTTGTGTGAGCCCCAGGCTGTCAGGCTCAGACGCAAGAGCCATTCCTTGCTGAGCCATTTTACTCAGGGTTTGGTTTTTGAGATCGTAGCCGGGGATAGCCTCAAACTCACAACTCAGCCACTCTCAGTGCTGAGCCACTCAGACATCATGCCTGGCCTTCCGATTCATTTTAAATATCATTTTCTCACCACAAAAAACATTCCCTTCTTTTGACTCAAGAGCTAGACCTAGGAGGTTAAGCCTACAAGAACACTCTAACATACCGAAAAGCTCTGGGCATTAAAACAGCCGTCCGGATGCTTTGTACCATTGACGGAAGCCGGAAATCAAGTCCACAGCCAAGAAGATAAGCATGGTTTAGAAAGCTACAGCCACACTGCATGTCATCAGACAGAAATTTCAGCTGCTGTCCCCAAGCATGTCTTCCACTGGAAAATAGACAGGCGGCACTAGACAGCACCATGGCCAAGCAGACCTCAGAAAACACATGGGAAAAAGGCAAATGGGAATGGAGATGTAGCTGAGTGCCCTCCCTGAGGGGAGAGCACAAGTTACATTTCTCCAGAAATCCTCTATAGTGGAATTTGGGTTGCATATCTTCAATTGTAGTAAAAGAAATATAATATGAAATTTACCATTTTCACCATTTTTAAGCATGTACTTTGGTGCTGTTCGCGGTGTTGCACAACCAAAAATATCGTCTCCAGAATTTGTCATCTTGCAAAACTGAAATGTCGTGGCCACTAAAAGTACCAGGTAGACATGGTGTGTGTCTGTCTCTTTGTGACTTCCTCCTTTCACTCAGCATCATTTCCTTGTTGTCCCTGCGCGTTGTAGAATGGCCAAACTGCCCTTCCTTTTAAAGGCTGAGTAGTATTCCATTGCATGTATTGCTCTATTCTATTTACTCGTCCATCCGATGACGGATTGCTTCTGCCTTGTAGCTACTGTGGATATATCAATGCTTACTGTCTAGCCTGGGTATGTCTCTCCCTTATGCCAATGTCTTTTGATAGGGGCCAGCGAAAGGGCTCAGTAGGTGCCAAGCCTGACGACCTGAGTTTGAACCCTGGAACTTACATAGTCAAAAGAGAGGACCAGTTGCAAGTTGTCTTCTGACCTCCACATGTGTGCCATGGCACCTATATTTCATAGACACTTACATGCTCACACACATGTGCATGCACTATAAATAAACAAATACTTGTTTAAAAACAATTCTTTAGTATAATATTAGAAGTAAATAAATAAATCAAATGTTTTGATCGGGTTTCACATTTATTAAAAGAAACATTCTTTTTTTTTCTTTTCCCTTTTTTTATTTAAGTTATAAACACGTTTGTTTCACATGTCAATCCCAGTTCCCTCTCCCTTCCCTCCTCCCCATCCCTCCTCCCCAGTCCCCCCCCAGTCCCTCACCCAACCTATACTCCGATCCCCAGGGAGGGTGAAGCCCTCCATGGTGGATCTCCAAGAAACATTCTTAAATTGGCCCCTCTTGTTTGGACTTTGTCACCTTGACACAAGCCGGGGTCATCTGGGAAGAAGGGACATGAATTGAGAAAATGACCCCATCAAATTGCCCTGTGGGGCTTTTTCTTGACTGATGATTGATGTGGGAGAGTCCAGCCCACTGCAAGTGGTGCCATAGTTACATAAAAGAGGTGGTCGGTCCTGAATTGCATCCAAAAAGCAGGCTGAGCAAGCCGTGAGGAGCCAGCCAGTGAGCCGTGCTGCTCCTAGGCAGCCTCTGCACCAGCTCCTGCCTCCGGGTTCCTGCTTCGAGTTGCTGTCCTGACTTCCCTCGGTGATGGAGGGTGGTGGGGAAGTGGGAGCCGAGCAAACCCGCTCCTCCCCATGTCACTGTTGGTCATCGCAGCCGTGGAAAGCGAGCCGGGGCAAACAGCCAGCTGGAGAAGGTAGTCGCCCATGCCATGCCTCTAGAAATAACGCTGTTTTCTCTGTCCGACTCTCTCCACAGGACAAATGCCTTAGCCTTGATCTTCCCGCCCGGATCTCCCCCACTCAGCCCTTCTCCGTTGCACCCTTGCTTCTGACATTGGACCACTGACCTCCTTCTGACGCCCTGCTCCAAGAAGACTGAAAAAAAAAAAAAAAAAAAAACCACCAACCGTTTCTCTTCGTCCTCACTAACAATTTGGTAATGAAGTATTGATTTCCACTTCTCTCCTTATGGACAATATTAGATTTTCATTGATAAACTGCAACGGGGCTGTTGCATCTCTGAGGTCCTCTTTTCGCTGTCAGGAAAAAAAAAAAAAACGAAGTGCCACTGAGGAAAAATAATGACTGGGGGCGCTGACGCACTTATTTTGTCAGTTTGTAACAGGAAAGGGAGGAGACACATCACTCTTCATAGTTTAATGTCCAAGTGGGCTGCTCTTGGGGGCTTACTTTTCACAGCAACGTCCACTCCCTATTTATAACCCACCTGGGAACGTTTGTCTAAAGGAAATGTTTCTGTTCAGTGTAACAATTAAGGTTGCACCTGGCCTCCCTAGTCCTGCCCCTGCACAGGGGAGCCATTAATCACTGCAGAGTGGAAGAGTTATTAAGTTAAACCAGAGTTTGAGCCAAGAAAACCTCCCAACCATGTTCATCTTCTGCGAAAGTTGTTGGAACAGACATCCTTAACCATGTGGCTGCCAAAGAGCTTTTTTTCTCCCCCCCCCCCGGGTGGTGCCAGACTGTGCACCCTCAAGTGGGTGTCTTGAGTGGTTTGTAAACTTAGCTCCCAGCATGCACCACTGTCCGGTGAGCCTGGCAGCCTGGGAGCGGTGCAGAGTAGAACCCAGGAGAAAGCAAGGTGGCATTGTGAGGAGTGCTCTCTCTCCGTGCAGGGCCTGTCCCCTCGCAAACGCAACTTCTCCTCTGTGCCCGAAAGAATGCATGAAAACGGGGTGTCTGTTTTAAACGTGTTCCGGCAACTTTTTTCATTAAAACTTTAAGGGGCCCAATTTTAATTTGTGGAATATTCCCGTTAATAATGAGATCTAATTAAGACATCCATTAAAAGCCCGTTAAAGTTAATTTAACGTAAAAATTCCAATAGAACTGTATTAGATTTTCTCCATTAAATTAACGTTATGGATTTTTTAACGGATGTCTTAATTACACGTTATTATTAACGGGAATACTGTATTACACAGATTAAAATCAGGTCCTAAGTCAACTTGGAAAAGCTACGAGCATGTTCTAATATTAAAGTCTCATAGACCTAGTACACAGTTTGGAAGTACAGGGGAAGATATGGTATTCTGGCTGAGTATTTTCTGCACAATGGAGAGTAATCTATAGTAGATAAACCCATCATTTCATTTAAACAATGAGTCCTTTATTCTCATAGGACAACAAAATCTGGATTGCACTGTAAATTGCTCTTCAGCTATAGGTGAAATATTTAAAGTATTCTCAGCACAATATTCTGAAACAAACGACTATTTTGTGTTGTCGTTTTAATTACCAAGGTTATCCAAAAGAGAGGAAAAAAAGGTGACAAAATGAAGCCAAATACATCCTTTTCACCATTTATTACAAAGGTTGCCTGTTGGAAATGTCTTGGAAATTTTGACATGATCCCTAAATTCAACCCTGGGATTTAAAAATAAAATTTAAAGGAAAAAAAAAGAAAAAGGAAAAAAAAACTTATTTACCTCCTAAGGAAAGTGTTGCCCTTATGCCACATATAATAGCAAATTGCTTTTTTTATGGCATGCATAACCTAGATGGGGAAAAATATGGTGCTTCAGGGAAGGAGGGGAAAAGTAAATGAAGTTCCAGGAATGTCATTCTGAAGTAATGAGGCATGGACGGAAAATATACCCCTCACATCATCGGATTGAGATGGCAGGCGGAATAGCTTCATTGAAGTGTCAGCACTCATCCATCAATCAATCACCCACAAGGAAAAATAACAACAGTACAATGGGGCGGCTTTTATGGGATTTACTCACCGGCACAGGGAACAGCGGCTCAGATGTAGTTCTGACATGAAAAGCAAGGTGCTGATATTATTTTTTATGATGGGAGGATCATAAAGTGAATTGAGAACAGAAAGGTTTGTCTGCTTAACCTGTTCAACCAGAAATGAACGGAACTCAGCTGGAAAGGACCGTCTTCGGATGGGTTAAGATTGAAGGGTGGACTCGCTGAGCACTGTCCTTCAGCGGGAGATTCTATTAAAGGGGAGAAAATAATACATTGGCACGGGGGTTCTCGAAGCTGATAAAGACCGCCTGTTCCATTCCAGGGTTATTAGGCAAAGCCACATAATTCGGATTTTGGAACCAACCAAAAGCAAACCCTGAGCTTGAAACCCACCTGGGAGGGCACAGTACAGTTTCAAACCTCCTAGGTAACCATTTCCCTCGTAAGAATAAAACAGGAATAAATCTGCCGTTTCAAGTATAATCTATATGGTTCTGTTAGTGCAATTTCTCTGGTGGGGTGAGGTGGGAGGCGAGAGACAAAAATATTGATAAATTTGGTTAGACTCCTGAGTTGTCACTTGGCAACTGTGAATGTCACTGCTGAGAGACAGCTGTTAATGTTCTCTGCAGAAAACAAGATCTGAGCGGGCACCATGCCGTGCACAGCTCTCCGTATATTTCTAGACACCGGGCCTGTCTTCATTTGGCAAGCCTGTGAAGCTTCTAGAAACTTCTTCCTGGAGAGAAAGAATGAAATAGCTTGAACTCCAGGAGAATGTTTTTATCTGCTTGCAAACGACTTCCTCCCTTCCTCGGATAAACTGGAGCCTCAGAAGTGGAGGGGGAATGATATGCAAATATCATGCAAATTGCCTCTGAGTACCTCCACTCTCCAGCCACCCTTTTGATCAGAGACAATGAGAGGTAGCCCTCCCTTCCCTAACCTCCTCCCAGCTAAGGCCACCAACCAGCTAAAACGTGAAGAGGCCATTAAAAAAAGGGGGAAAAAATACTATATTTAAATCTTATGTATTTCAACAAATCACATCATAAGCCCTGACAGCACAAGACCCAACAAGAAAAGCAATTTAGTCAGCAGATTCACTCAAGCAGCCTTGTTAGGCACCTACTGTGTGTATACTAGAAGCAGGAGCACCACAGTGAGCAGTCACCATGACATCTTGGCCCTCGTGTTTTTAACATCACTGTTTCAAAACAGCCACTGACCAGACATCTGAGGACGGTGTCCACAGAGGGTCAAAATCCTAGTATTTTCACAATAAGGTATTTTACTTTGTGAAAAACATGCAAGGAAAAAAAAAATAGCTTCCAAATAGGTTAAGGACTAAAAGCTACCATATAAATTGGACCACCCAGACAGCCCCCAAGGAATTTCATTCATACCACAAATAGATTTCCCTTAAAACTCACCCCCAAAGTAAATATGCCTGCTTAGTTGTTTGGCTCTTACATAACTAATGTCCTGAGCAAAATCCCCTGAATTCTGTTGAAACTGGGAAAACAACAGTGACATGTTTGAAACCAGAAAAAGTATGAGGTGAGTGTGTGTGTGTGTGTGTGTGTGTGTGTGTGTGTGTGTGTGTGAGATGTTCACACCTATATGGAAATGCATGAATTTCACCAGTATTTTCTAGGGTCTGGATAGCACAGGGATAAGAATCTCCTAAAACTTTTCAGTCAACCTGAAGACACAGGTCATACAATGTCCCCAGATTCTGTGTCTTTATCATTTGTCACTTGTCAGGATATCTGACAGGGCTCAGGCCTTCTTTTCTTTTTTTGGGGGGGGAGGATGGGGGATCATTTTTAAATGTGTTAGAAAAAGGAGGAGGAGGAGGAGAGGAGGAAGAGGAGACAGTGTCATCTCTTAGGGCTAAAGAGATGGCACAGTGGTTAGCATAACAGCTGCTCTTACAATGGATCTGGGTTCAGTTCCCAGCACCCTCAAGGCCACTCAAGTTCAGGCCTCCAAGTTCCCCAGGCACACGTGTGATACACATAGGTACACATGCAGGTACTCACACACACACACACACACACACACACACATTAAGTAAAAACATACAGAGTGCCATATTCCCATTATCTGCTCTTTTCTGAATAAAGGGCGCTAATGTGGAAACGAATGCCAGGTAATAACAAGGAAATATGTCGGAGGCTGTAGACTGCACGCACATGCACAGTTGTAAGGCAGGCTCGGTGCTGTCTGCTTTCAACAGGCCAAAGGCAACAAGAAAATTCAAAACGCAACTTCCGGTTTATTTTGTTCCCTCCATGAGATGTGAAAATGCTAATTTCATTTTCTCCCTTCCTCTGTGTGGCACTTGCTCAAAATACCTACGAAATGCTTTTAGACAAAGACCGAGGAGGGAGGAAGAGATGTGAGCCTCCGTCCTCTAGATGGAGAGCTGCATTTCCATTGCAGGAAAAACTTTGATTCATCTTTAGGATTTCCAGGACAGAATTTGACCTCACCATCCAAAATAAAAGCCACTTATGTCCTTGGCTTCCTGTGATGGAGTCAGGAGCGTACACAGATAAACAATTTCCAGTCTCTAGCTAAGATCTCCTTGCCATAGTTATGAACGATCAGGTAACAGGCCTAGAAGTTGCCTCCAAAAATTATTCATGAGCCAAGCAGCCCAAAGCTTGTGGGGGAGGGATGGTGTGCAACAGTGGGAATGTTTTATGGATTAGAAGGGGCCTGTTTTAAAATGCTAGTACCAGGTGGAATGATATTTCTGTAACAAGACTGTCCGTTTCCTTTGGAAAAATATATTCGGAGTAAAATAGCTCTTCCAGGAAGTGACACCCTGACTTGACACCCTTCAGCATACAAATGACATGACAATAGCCATACGACTGCTGTTAGGGCCTTCTACAATAAGGTCTGTTTGAAGGAGACAGACCAAAATACAGCCCCTTGAACTGTGTTTATTTGCTTAAAACAGCTTTTGGAAATAAAAGTAATAACTTTGGTTGGAGCCCCCAGGAGATGTTAAAAAAAAAATACATTGCTTTTTAAAAAAAGTTCTAAATCTAAGCACTCCCTTCAAGCCTTTCAGGAAATATATTTCGGTATGCTCTCTGAATTGTTTTGCACCTGAAACGTACGTCTGCCTGTCTGTCCCCAGGCGATGGCTAATATTTATAGAAAGAACAATCTCTGATTATGTCTAGACCATGGAGCTGTGTCCGGTCCTATTTTCATGTCCTAAATGACTTCTGGAACATTCCAGAGCTATAAATGTGTGTGCAGACACCAAAGGACAGAAAGTTCTATCGGTCTGTGAAGAAACAATTAAAACGGTGTCCGTTCTGCCTGGAGAGAAAGCCTGCAGATGTCGGAGCCAAGCCCGCAAATGTAACGAACGTGCAGAAAAGTGTCCTTTGGCTCAGGGTTCTTCCGTGTCAGAAAATCCCAGCTTGCCAGATATTTTTAGATCTCTGATACAAACCTTCTCATCCCTTTGGACTTGCTTCTTGAGAGTTGGATCCCATCAGGGTGAACCATGAACTTTCAGACCCCTAGAATATCCAAGTTGACCTGTGATGGACAAGTGTTTCTGGTTCTGCGGTCTTCTTGTGTGACAAACTGGGAAGTATACCCCTGCATCCATTCCAGATCTTGAGTTCAATCTTAATTTAAAAAAAAAAAAAAGGCAACTGGGTTCCAGGTGGGTATGGAGGGAGTCAGAGTGATCTTCACGAAACACATTTATCCGTTCTCTGGAGGGAAGTGCTTGCTTCCGGGACAGAGAGACAAACATTTTTATGTTCCAAAAGCAGACCAGTTGTTTTCAATAAATAAATAATGACTGCAGCCATGCCTGTAGAATGTCCTGTGCACTCCCCTGCTCTCTCCTGCATGCTGTGTACACGATTGCTGGTGCACTAGGAAGAGGGGGGAATTCGGGCTGTTCTGCTTGCTGCAGCCTGGATGGCTGGGAATGCAATGCTGTACATATTTGTATATACTGACTAAATCGCCGTGTATGGACGCAGGTTTTCTTATATTTACATGATTCTGTTTTCTACCAGACTGGCCCACAATGCGGGATTATTTTGCATTGGAAAAAAACAAAAACAATATGCTTGTCATTTTCCCCCTGATCATTCTCTTTCGATAGCTTATGGGAGAATTAGGGCTGGGTTTCTTAAGACATTGCAAGAACCACGTCCTGCATGAGCCCCATCCGGTCGCCGGATCCAAGGAGGAACCGAAACCCTGAGTTTCCCTCTAACGGCATGCTTTACCCCATGAGAAAACTACAAACTCATCCCTGTAGAATTAGCCTCTTTGTATTTTATCTACTAGTGCCTGGGAAACAAAAAAAGAAAAAAAGATTTTTTAAGTCTTCTTTAGAGGAAGAATTCATAATTGTCAAAATTTGAAACATTAGCTTAATTTTGTTTTTATGACCCTGTGCTCTACTCCTTATTTATTCGGTTACTGTTGTAATGGGGCCCCAGGCCATTCCTGACATCACCGTGTTCCTCCTCGGCATTAAGGATGTTTTTAAAATTACACAGATTATTGAGCCAACAGGCTGTTTTAATCAAAACCATGTTTCACTTGTTTAGGAGGCTTATAAATTGTCCTTGCAATGAAGAAGACAGGCGAGGAAAAAAGGGGGGGGGAGAAAAGAAAAAGAATGAAAATAACAAAACGAAAAGTGTTCCACTAGGAGGACTATACCACCGTGTGGCCAAACAGACTCATCACAACAGACAGGCACCTATTGCCCGCTTCCCTAGGAAGCTGGAAAATACTTCCCTTGGTTTCTCAACACCCTGGAATTCATTTTCAAGGCCAACACTGTTTGCAAATTTCCAAAGATCTTTGCCACCTCGTCACCACCCAAAGGCACATGGTCTGACTGGGAAATGGTCCCCCGGTGGAAAGTTGAGTATTTCAGAGAAGATGGACCTCTTTTCTTTGGTCACTCAGCGCCACCAGCCTGTCACCACCACCCCTCACTATAAACAATCTGGTGTGATATCCCTTAGGACTTAAATCGGGTCAACGGCAGTGACCCGATTAGGCCCTTGATGAATAAAAATGACTTAAGTAGGGACCCACTTCAAGCATGTGTCTGCCTATGCTGCCACTGCCTGAAAGTTACCTGCAGAAAGAGACAGTTTTTAATACAATTTTATTGCTAGAAATAAATTCTGATCGTGGAAATGAAGAAAGCACTTAAATTATATCACAAAAGTCATTATTTTTTACATCTAAAGAGTGGGATTTTTTTTAAGGAAAATCATTCTACTTTGAGAATGTAATTAAAACCCTAAATAACCGATAATACTTTCAGCTGCTGTGAAAACATAGCAGCATAGTCGCCAAGGTTGTATGAAGCCCCTAATTTCCATCAAAAAGCTGTCTATAAGTATAGTATTTACATTTTTAAACATGATAGCTCTTTTTATTTGTAGCCAAAAAAAAAAAAGAAAGTCCTTTCTTCCCCACTCAGCAGTTATTGAAAATAGATCATTCCCACCTGAAACCCCACGGTGACCTGCTTGGGAACTCTGAGCTACAAACAGAGGGACCTGGGTGTGTCCTCTGGTAATTTTGCTGGAGGCTGTCCCTCGCTGTATGCTGCAGACACGAGCACACAGTTCTGACCGGAATCTGTTGGTGGCGGTGCTGGATGGCAGAGGCGCCTCCCCACACCATTAGCTTGGCAGGTGTTCGTCATTTCAGACTTCTACTTTGGCCAATTGGGGGGGGCGATGGAAATTAAAAGAGTGAAGAGGCAGAAAGAAAAAAAAAACCATACACACAGATGCACTTAAGACATGAAAAGAATTATTTATATGATAAAAATATATTTAGATTTTCAAAGCACAAGGCTGACTTGAAGTGCTCTTCTTATGCTTCCTGGAGATGGTACTGTTAAATGTCTTTCTACATCAGACTTTAATAAATCTGTAATGACATTTGATGGATTGATTTCTGCCTGCGTGTGGTTTTTAAAGATGGCGAGAGAGGAGAGCGGCAAGGGGGAGGGGAGCAAAGCGCCCTCCCTCAACCAAGCCAGGGGAGGCAGGGTATCGGTTAGGCCTCTCCCTCTCAGAGCCCCCATGGCCCACCTTCAGCATCTGCTCTCGTTCCCATCTGTCGGTGCGGTTCCTTCTCCAGATGTCCATGCTCCCCTCCGTTTCCTTTAACGTCCCGGGAGAATGGGACCCCGCGTCACACGCGCTGCCTAGGCAGACCCCAGTGCCCAAGCTCACGTGATATGTAGTCTGTGACACGTAGGTGGCTCACAGTCTCAGTAGCTTCCCTGCATTGGACCTGAGCTTGTTAAATGATGATAACTGCAGAGCCACCCTGTCCATCTAATTCCATTGCTGTGCTCCTCCAGGTGTGGCTGTCACTCGGGACAGGACGGGCTAAACACAGCATGGCATTGGGGTGAACAATCTGGCACGGGAGTCAAGGGGTTGTGTGTGTGTGTGTGTGTGTGTGTGTGTGTGTGTGTGTGTGTGTGTGTGTGTGTGTTCTTGAGGACCTGCTTTGTGCTAGGTCTGAGAGTTACTTCCACAAATGAAGAGGGCAGTGGTTTGTGAGAAGCAACAGCTATTGGCAGGAATTGCACTAACATCTAGGCTCAGTCATCCGCCATCTGAGATGACAGGGAAGGCTGCAGGGGAAGGAGACACGACGTCAGGCCAAGCACAACACTATGTCCTGTCAGTCATGAGAATGACAGAAGCACAAAAGGAGGCTGGGCCAGCCAGAAGGCACAGGATTCCAAAAGGAAACTATGTTGAAGATAAAATCCAGGCCATCTGCTAGATTAATGTCTCGAAAGAACACTGAGAGGGGCTGGAGAGATGGCTCAGCGCTGAAGGGCACTGGCTGCTCTTCCAGAGGACCCAGGTTCGATTCCCAGCACCCACGTGGTGACTCACAACCTGTAACATCAGTTCCAGGGGACCTGGTGCCCTCATCTCGCCTCTGAGGGCACTACGCCAGCATGTGACACACGGGCACCCATGCAGAAGGAGACACTCATACGCATAAAATAATAAGTAATGACGCATTTTTCAAAGAGCACTAAGAGAAGCAAAAGTGGGACAGCAAGATACGGCTTAGCAGGTGAGGCCCTTGCCATCAAGCCTAAAGATTTGAGTTGGACCCTCAGGAGCCAATGAGGGATGAAAAGAAACAACTCCTGTGACCTCTGACATCCAAAGGTGCACCACGGAATTGAAGACAGTTCCTCACAGACACGCCCATAGGCTAACACAGTGGAGGCAGTCCCTCACTGATAATTCTCTTCTCAGACCATTACAGGTTGAGTTAAAGCCAGCAAGCACACTAACAGTGTAGCCAAGGATGGTCTTGAACCCCTGATCTTCCAGCCTCCTCCTCCCAGCAGATGAGATGACAGGTGTGCAGTCCCACACTTGGATTGACAGTCCTGATTTTGGAAGATCCCCTGTTGGCTGTGGGTTGAAGGCTCAGTCCTCAGCCTGTGGAGCTGGAACATTTAAGAGGAAAGGGCCTGTGGGAAGTCTTCAGGTCATCACCCCCAAAGTGAATGGTGAGACTCCAGTCCTCACCTCTCAAGTTTGCTTCCGGGCAAGGAAGTGAGCTGTTTGACCCCACCGTAGATTGCGGCCATTGTAAGCCATTGTAAGCACTGTTTTACCACAGCCCCCAAAGAACATGGCAACACTCAGTGTTGACTCCCAACACTGAGTCAAGACAGACCTTTTCTCTTAAGTTTCTTGGGTCGTGTATTCCATTACGGTGATGGGCAGCTGAATCTCACACAAGAGGAAGAGGAAAGGATCAGAACACCAGCAAAGGGGCTTTAAAAACAGCAACCACTAGGTATGTGGGTTCACACCTATAACCCCAGCACTCAGGAAGCTAAGGCTCACACGTTCAAGGCTAGCCTAGTCTAAACAGAGCAAGTTCCAACAAACTTGGTCTACAGAATCAGGCCCTGCCTTTCTAAAACCCTGGTGAGGAACTCTGAGAAATAAGAGACTTGGGTATTGGCTCTCCCGATCAATAGGAGGCTAACACAGCCAGAGATCACACACAGTGCAGGTGTTGATGTCAGAGGCAGAACTGAGCAGCATGCCGGGAAGCCACCAAGGACTATGGGGTAAAACACCCAGCAGCCTGGGTCCCTTAGATTAAAATCAAAACTCCTGGGGACGGGAGGCAGCTCAGTGAAAGTACTTGCACAAATCCCTTGGTTTGTTCTGCAGTACCATAAAAAAGAAAGAAAGAAAGAAAAAAAAGGAAGGAAGAGGAGAGGGAGTTGTAGGGAAAAGAGAGAGGAGGATGAGCAGGAGAATCGGGAGCTCCACAGCCAGGTCTACCGGCATAAGCCTGTGGTCCCTGAGCCTGAGGAGGCTGCCGTGGGAGAAGACGGCTGGGGGTGGGAGCCAGGGGGCAGAGCTCTTGCTCAACACGTATTCAATACCCAGTGCTGAGAAAAGCATCCTACAACAGTGTCACGGGTGTTGTTATATATGTTTATTCACCTATCAAAAAATTTAGCTGTAGATAAAACAGCCAAAAAAAAGGAGAATGAGGAAATGTACCTACTGGTGTGAAAATATACTATGAAGCTATTGTAATTTTGAAAATGCAGAAACTGGAGTTTAGAGAGATTACTCAGGGATTAAGAGCACTAGGTACTCTTGGAAAGGTCCCTGGCTTGGCTTCCAAAACCCACAAAGCATCTCACAAATGTCTATTACTCCAGTTCCAGGGAATCCAACACCCTCTTCTGATTTCCACGGGTCCTGGACCAGCACACATGGGGCATAAATACACAAACACACACATACACATAAATAAAAACAAAATAAGTCTTAAAATTCAGGAACTGGTACAGAAGCAACAGGGCAACTCCATGAGAATTTAGATATTCCACTTATTGAAAATATTTAAATAAGAATTTAGTATATTATAGAAGTATACGTCTAAATATGTGAAGATATTTAAATAAGAATTTAGTATATTATAGAAGTATACGTCTAAATATGTGAAGATATTTAAATAAGAATTTAGTATATTATAGAAGTATACGTCTAAATATGTGAAGAAAAGGCACAGTGCTAGTCATTAAATCCCACGTGCACACAGTTGGTAAACTATGTCTTCCTAGGTACACACTGCAAGACTCATTAATCTGAAAACAGAATCATAAAATAACCAGAGAACCACATAAACCAGAAACAGATATGGGTTGGGAAGTTACTGCCAGCCTTAAAAGCTTTGGTTCCTGACCTCGAACTCTTTCTCCATTGCTTGCAAAAGAAATAATGAAAAACGAAGGGAGGAAGTACCCAAAAATATCATCAAAAACATTGTAAGTACAGTGAAAAGTCAGAAACGGTGTGGAACCATATTAGCATAAGAGTTACTGATATAACTATTGATGTAGTGTTACATATCTCTAAGAACTAGAGACACATACACATCTTTGCTGTTTTGAGACAGTTGCCTGTACTCCAGGCTGGTCAGGAACTACCAGAGGCTGACCTCAAACTCCTGATTCTCCTACTACCTAACCCAGAGTCCTGGAATTACACACCTGTGTGCCACCACTTCGATTTATAAGGTGCTGGGAATGGAATCCAGGGGCTCCTCAATGCTAGGCAAGCAATTTATCCACTGAGTCACAGCCCCGGCATGTGAATGCCTATCCAAACAGACTGTGTGGGGTGAAACCTCATAAACCCATGTCACAATAAATTCAAATGGTCAAACAACACAAGAGGAAGCATCAAGGGATGGTAGTGACCAGACACTGAGTAAAATAAAAAGAAACCAAAAATAGGGTCTGGAGAGATAGCTCGATGGTTAAGAGCACTGGCTGCTCTTCCAGAGGACCTGGGTTCAATTCCCAGCACCCACATGGCAGCTCGCAATGGTCTATAACTCCAAGATCTGACACCCTCACACAGACATGCAGGCAAAACACCAATGCACATAAAATAAAAATAAATCATTAAAAAACAAAAAATAATAGCAAACAGACAAAAATAAAATCAAATGTTGCCATTATTAGAGAATGCTTACAGAGATTGCCAGGTTCCAAACACATTGCTGCTGGCAGCAAAATCGGACGGGAAACCTTCCAGAAACTTATTAAATAGCATGTATCAGCTTCCCTAAAATGTGCATGTACTTTGGTTAATTAATCTTTCGGAGTTTTTCTTAGAAAGTAATGGCATGCAAAGGACTTACATGGTAAGAATGTTTGGCCACAATATTGGTTCAGTACGGTGAGCTGGTTACATACCAGGGGTCCAGAGAAAACAAGTGTGGCCACTGGAGAAGACACAGTCACAGATCCACGAGAAGCCAACACAGACAGGGACTGGACAGGGACTCATTCACTAAAGTGTTTGCTGTGCAAGCATGAGGACACACACCCACGGAAAGTACCAGACATGGGGGTGTCTACTTGTAACCCCAGCTCAGGAGAGGTAGAAACAGGTGACTCAGTTGCCAGCCAGCCTAGCATGGACAGCAAGCTGCAGGTTCCATTAAGACTGTCACAAAAATAAACCGAAAAGAAAAACAAAAACCAAGATGCAGAGTTGGGGACTTAGCTCAGTGGTAGGCAGAGTGCTTGCCTAGCAAGACCCTCCCTGGGTTTGGTCCTCAGCCCTGGGGGGAGGGGGAGAGACAATGACAGAGTGACTTGAGACTTAACCTGGGACTAAAAAGATGGCTCAATGGTTGACAGCACTGAATACTCTTTCAGAGGAACCAGGTTTGATTCCCAGCACGCGCGCGCGAGCGCGCGCGCGCGCGCACACACACACACACACACACACACACACACACACACACACACACACGGCAGCTCACAGCTCTAACTCATGTATATGATGCACAGATATGTACACCAATACACATAAAGCTAAAGAGAAAAAGATGTGAAGTTCAAGACTGACTCTAACTGCACA